CCCAGCCCAGCCCAGTCTAACTTAGTGCATCCCAACCCAGGCTAGTTTAGCTCAGCCCAGTTCAGCCTGGTCTCATCCATTTTAGCTTAGCCTATCTCTGCCCAGCCCAGCCCAGCCTAGCTCAGTCCAGTTCAGTTCAGACCAGTGTAGCTCAGCTCATCCCATTCCAGATTAGCCCAGTCACCCAAGTCAGCCCGCTTTGCCCCATCTTAATCAGTTCAGCCCACCTCAGCCCACCTCAGCCCAGGTTGGACCAGCCCGATTCAGACTAGCCCAGCTCAGTTTAGCCCATTATAGACTAGCTCGGTCAGCCCAACTTGGCCTCCCTTGTTCCAGCTCAGCCTAGATCAGTCTGATTCAGCTCCGCTAAGGTGAGCCCAGCCCAGCCTGGCCACAGGCACTTGAGTCAACCCCACCCCTTGCTGTTGTCTCCTAAGCCTCGCCTCAGTCCAGCCTGTAAGTCTCTCGCTGCTGCTTTCTAGGAAGCTGGGTTTCGTCAAGTTTTCTCTGGTCTGCGTCTCAGCCCATGGCACATCCTTGTGCCTGTGTTCACGCCCTGTATCCCCTGGCTTGCTCTTCGAATCTCCTTTTCCTTCCTGCTAATGCGTCTCTACCCTGTGTTCTCAGGCCTGGTCTGGTTGAGACTCCTCAGTGCACCAATGAGCAAAGGAGTCCAGACCATCCTGGGACCCACCTGCTCAAGGTCGTTGAGTGTCCTCCATGGGGGAACAGCCAGGCCTCCTTTGGCCAGGTGGTCCCACACTGAAGGTCCATCCTCATGGCTATAGGCCATCTGCCCCATGGGAGGGAGGTTGGGACTGGGCAAGGCCTTGGCTGGAAGCTGTGTCCTCAGCATCTCCGCTCTTCTCTTTGTGTGGTTGCCTGTGGATGGGCCAGGCCTGGAGCCGAGGGGGCTGCATGACTGTGTGTCTGGCCCCTAGATGGGGTCCCTCACCCACTTCCTGTTCCACCTCCTCATTGTGGCCTCTTGCCTCCGAGTCATGTCTGGCCTGTGGTCTGGCTGTGGTGGAGACAGGTGTGTCTGACCACACGGGCCTTGGTGGGGCCAGGACTCCACATGCCTGGCCATAGGGGTAGGTTGGGGCCTGAGATGCAGGAAAAGGAAAGATACTGAGACAGAGATGGAGAGGGAAAGAGGACAATTAGGGGTAGAGGAGAGGCCCAAGAGCGTCAGGGAGCCAGAGGAGCAAGGCTACTCCAGAGGGATCCCTAAGCCAATGAGGCTTCTGAGAAGACCTTTGCTGTCACAGAGTTGACATGATGTGGGGAAGTGTCTGAAACGGCTCATCACGAGCTGCGGCGGCCTCCATGGCTAGTTCCTTGAGAAAGTAGATGCCCCAGGCTGAGGGTCAACATGGAGGCCTTCAGGTCACAGTTCAGTGCTACCTCCATTTGTATCCCTTGCAACCCTGAATCAACTTCCTATCACATCTCTCCCAGGATGGGCCTTTGCCCTCCAGGGCTCCTCAGAGATTGTCAGGGTCGGGTCTCACCCTTCACTTAGTCCTCTACACATTCTATGGTCCTCTCCCCACAATGTCCCCCTTTGTAAGCTGTCTCTGTCTTGTGCCTTATTTACATCATAACAGGACTCTGGAGCTTCACACAAGCCCCAGACAGTCTTTGCTCAGGAACGGCCTTGTCTGGAGGGGAAAGGTTGTCAATGAGAAGGTGTGAGGGGGTCATGTCAACGCTGGGTGCTGAGTTGGGGAAGTTAGCTTTTCTGGGGTCTCGCATAGATACTTCACAGAGGAGGGGCTTGGAAAGTGTGGAGCGAATTGAAGTCCCCTTGACTGTGAAGCCAGCCAAGGGAGTTTGACAGATGGACAGGGGAGGAAGCTTGGTCCTGAGTTCCAGAGATCTGGGGGGACACACAGACCTGTATAGAGAGGCCCGGGAGGTTGTCCTCAGTCTCAGCATGCCTTGGAGCCGTCAGCAACGGGGGACATTGTGGCCGCCTGGCTTAGTCATTTCTGCTGCTGTTACAGAAGACCACGGGCGAAGGGGCTTAGTCAGTAAAGGTTCATCTCTTGGTTCAAAGCTGGAAGCAATGGGCTGGAATGGTCAGTCTGGTAACAGCCGCTTCCCAGTCTACAGAGGGTCATTTAAGGTCATGTGTCCTGCCATGAGGCTCTCTCATGACTCGGTCACCTCCTTTTGGTCTTAGGGTTTGCTAGCCCACGTCACAAGACATTCTCCAGGGACATCATGCCAACATGGAGTTGCTCAAGGCCAACAGTGTGTCATCAAGGCCAAGAAGTATGGACACGGGGACAGGGAATTCAGGCTGCGGCTGTTCATCCATGGCTATGAGGTGGGTCCAGCAGCTGAGCTGATGATGTCCCACAGAGATGTTTTCTGTGCGGGGTTAGAGTGGCTGTATGTACGGACTGTGGTGACAGCTCTTGACAGGTCATCCCTTGTGAGCCTCCCACATGGTCCTGGTCAGTGTTGGACACAGTGCTTCTGTTTGGGCTGCCGTCTTTCAGTTTTCACATTTTGATTTTGGAGGACACAGGCCCCGCTTCCATCATTTAGGACTCTTGTCACTGGGTTAAAGTCCACGAGGCGAATCCTTGATGACCTCATCTTGAGATAGTGACCTTGGTCACACGGTGAAGACCCATTCCCCAAAGGACACACTTATGGGTTCCAAGATGTGATTGTGTCTTTTGGGGACTCCCACAAGTCCTCTGTGGTGGACTGATAAGGGAGTAGAGAGAAGAAAGTGGCCTCTTGGTCCTAGGAGGTCATTCATGGTATGCAGAGGCCAGGGTCACTGGCCTGGCTGTCTGGGCTGAGTCTAGTTCCCAGTGGACTCTCTGTCATTCCAGGTGGGATTTGCTCCTATGTGACAATTCCTATCACCACATTGTACTCCTTGAGAAGAGCCCTTGCTGCCTGTGTCCAGTGTCTGTGGGGATCTCATGGCTTGGAGGGATGGTCATTGGAAGACACTGAGCTATGATTTTCAGGAATGTTAGTCTAGGAGCTGGTTGGGGAAGAGGACCACCTAGGCCTCAGCCTAGAAGTGGGTAGGGCTAGGAGAATCTGGCACGAGGAGGGTGTGGGCCAGGTCTTGTCTTCCCAAGACAGTGTGTGTCTGCATGTGAGACTGAGCCTGTTTTAGAGTGGTGTGTGTGTGTGTGTGTGTGTGTGTGTGTGTGTGTGTGTGTGTGTGTGTGTGTGTGTGTCTGGCACCTGACTCTGGATGTATCTGGGGGGGGGTCTGTGCAATCTGTGTGACTGTGTGTCTGACATACATTTGAATGTGAGTGACGGTGTGCTCCTCAGCGTGAATGCACAATGTCATTGTGTGCTGGCCAGGGCTGGGGCTTGGGACAAGTCCTGAGCAGTGCCTCTTTCCAGTCTGGCTGGTCACCCTCCCAGTCCTGGGTCTCCTGCACTCAGCAGGGGTAGCCTTCTGTGCCTTTGCCACCCATGCCTTCCCCGGGTGCCCTGAGGCTTGTAGAAGCCTGGCTCTACAGCAGAGAAGAGGGCTCAGATACCTGGGGGCTGTGGTCTTGTCCTGGCAGACTTATCTCCGTCTTAGTTTTCCTAAAGTCCCATGGTGCTGATCTTGGAACCCCAATGTGGATCTCCTTGTGAGACCATCACTACTTATGATGACAAGGGCGTTTGGCCAACTGACCCTCAAAATGGTCTTAATAGTTCTCATGCCTTTATCTAGGGCCCAGTAGGGCCACACCCACCCTAGGCATCCTTCTTACTAGAAATATTCTCATCATTTAAGCATTTTCTGAAAGTCATTGGCTACTGATTTTTCCTTCCTATGAAGACTTCTTTTTTCTTATTGATTCCAGAACCATCATTGCATATGAGAGAACCCTGTCTTATGTAACGTGAATTCATGTCCCAGGGATGATAATACTAGGTTTGGATGACTCTTGCACACTTGTGTGTCCTCTCTCAGTCTATCCAGGGTCAGGGACTGGCCTGTCTGCCTGCACTTAGTGGGTGGACAGATTGTGGTCCTGGAGAGTGACCTGCACCAGGTTCCTGGGGGCCCAGCTCTGATTCTAGCATTAGCCCATCAGGCTTTGCCCTTCACTTCAGCTTAAGAAGTGGGAAGTGAGTCTGGGCTGGAGGTCGGCAGGAATGGTGGACTGGGTGGAGGCTGGTCTGGAAACCCTGGGTTTTGAAGAGGATCCCACAGAGGTGGCTGCTTTTCACCCTTTGGTCCTTGTCCATGTCCTTGGTACCCATCGCCCCAATGGTCGCCTCAAACACCTTCTCAGTGTGCTCTCAGGAGTTATGGGAAAGAACTTTACTAAGAAACCCAGAGACAAAGTACAACTGCTGGCAGAGGCTTGGAGTTGCTGAGGCCTCAGGGCTAGGCTCTGCTGCTGCCCCGTGGGAGGCTCCTTTTTCCCACAGCAGGACTCTGCCTAGCCCAGAGGTCTGAAGTAGCTCTTTTCAGTTTTGCGGCCTCATGCTGAATGCCTGTCTGTCTCTCTTCGTTCTTCAGGGACAGAGGGCTGTAGGGAAAGTCTGGGTCATGTCTGGAGACAGTGAGGCAGGATGGCTTCCACGGAGCGAGGGCCTGGATTTGTTCTGGGTTGATTCTGAGTGCCCCAGCTTTGACTCTGGGCTCTAGGCGGGGGCCTAGTAGGGACTTTAGGCCCTGGGGCCTAGTAGGGACTTTGTGGTTATTCAGTCAAAATGAAGTGACCCTGATGCCCACAGGTCTGGGGTGAGCCCCGGTGGTTAGCATCCACCCTAAAACTCAGATCAAATTGACGAGGAACAGATGTTGTTCCAAAGCTTGTCTCAAAGTATCTGTGTGTAGGTCAGCCCACACTGGTGCCTTGATCTGGAACTTTCTGGATGCTGATATATCAGTTGTTGGTCCCCAAATCTGGTCCTTTTGGGCAGTTCTGCTCCATCCTACAACCCAGCACATAGCAGGAGCCTCAGACACACACGGCTGCAGGCCTGCAAGGGAGCTGGCATTGTGCTTATGCCCTGGTCTGGAGGATGTTGGCATAGTCGTGGAGGGTCTGGGGTGTACTCTGCGTCAGTGTGGACAAGACCCACTTCACCTGGGGAAAAGGTGTGCATGAGGATGGCTCTGCAGCTTGGCCTAGCCCTCCCTAGCCCCACCCACTGAGGTGCAGGACTCCACCTTCAGGAGGGTGACAGTGGCCCCATAGCTCACGCTGAGCAGGAACAGGGTGATGAAGACGTAGATGCTGGTCCACAGCTCTTCCAGCTCCTCACTCTCGGCCTCTTCTGCACATAGGTCCTGGAGGTCTAGCTCTGGGGGGACCAGCCAGTCAGCTTCCCAAGACTCCAGGTGACAGCGGGGAGGGGTAGAGTCCCCATTCCACCTGCCCAGAGTCTCTAGATGGCCCTGGATGCCAGCTGTCCTGCTTTCTCCCCTGACCCTGATTACTCATTCCCTCTGCCTACTCCAGAGCCCACAGTGGCCTGATGCCCCCACCATTGGCATAGTTTTGCTTCTGGCCACAGGATGCCTCTATCCAGCCTGCAGAGAGTTCTTCAGAGAGTGCCCAGGGCTCTCCAGGAAGGGCTCTGAGCTCCTAGGCTTATTTGCAGGACCTCCATGCAGGCTCTGGCTCCAGGAATCTTGGCTGTGGTCTCTGAGGGGCAGGTCAGGAGACATGGGCTCTGAGCCCAGGCCTGTGGGACTCTAGGGAGGGCCTCCTGGCCTTGTAGGGGTTCTGCTCTTGCCTTAGCCTCCCTGTTGTCTGGTTTACTAGTCTCACCAGCTACCATACCAGCTGTCCCACAGTTCAGGACTCCACCTTCTTCGGTCTCTCATGGCCTGGCGTGGGCTGAAGGGGAGCCTGGAAGCAGACCTGACGTGCTGGCTGGCTCTGCCATCAGTGGGCCTCAGAGGCATCTCAGACACAAAGGCTGGACATTTATCTCTGGATATGACCGGTGTGTCTGGGCTCCATTGTGTGCATGACTGTGTGTGTGTGTGTGTGTGTCTGTGATGAGAGCCTCTGGTCTCAACGTGTATGAGACATATGTGTTGGTGGTTGGGTCTAGGATGGGTGTGGGCATGTCCTGGTTCTGGCCTCTTTATCCTTCTGGGCCTGGGATGGATGTATAGCTTGCTTTGGGCTATTACTAAACCAGAGAGAATGATGAAGCCTACCTGTGGTGTGTGTGTGTGTGTGTGTGTGTGTGTGTGTGTGTGTGTGTGTGTGTGTGTCTGCCTATCTTAGGGTTATAGCAGATAGAGAACAGTGGTATGGGAGGTTGAGGCCATGGGAGGAGGCCATGTGGAAGATACTGGGCTCTCTTACAGGATATAAATCCTGTTTCTATCTTGGACTCACTGGCTCAAGTATATAAAAGGAAAGGACTGGGAATGACCTGGGCAAGCAGAGAGCAGTGGGAAGCCTAGTGCAAGCCACATGTGAGCATGGGTGAGGCGTGTTGCTATGTCAGGTGCCTGCAAGTGTGTGCTGTTTGGCAGTGCTGTGCTTTTGGGGTCACAAGGCTTGGTGATCTGAGTGTGTATGTGGCTGTGTGTGTGTGTGTGTGTGTGTGTGTGTGTGTATGTGTGTGTGCTAACAGGGCATAGATGAGTGCACCTGACCAGGTGAGGCTGGCAGCCTATTCCAGCCCTTGAAATGAGGTTGGCATGAGGCTGGACAGTAAGAGGAGGGGCACCAGGTCCTTAGCCAGACCTGCTGTGACCATAGGGTCAGGGCAGCTGGTCAGGACTATGGGTTCAGCCTCAGTGGCTGCTGGGTACAGAGGAGAAGGAGCAGGGCCATGAGGAGTCCTGCCTCCCAGGATGCTGACTTTGGCAATTTCTCTACCTGAAGGGGTTCTAATATCCAGGAATACCTGGGGAGCAGAAACTTGCAAGACTGAGGGGTGGGTGCTGAGGCCTCCCAGGCTGGCTCATTTTAGCCACTCCTCTAGACAGCTCCTCTCTGGCTGTTTGGATCCCATTCGGGTGCATGATAGACAGCGGAGGTCAGGAAGGACCAGGGGGGCCGGAGCTGCCCTCTGTGATGTCCTATCTGTCCAGTACCCAACACAGCCAGACGGACGATCTGTGCTTTACCCCTGCCCCTCTCTTGCAATGTCCCTTCCTCTGTGCCAAGACACTTCAGCCCACAGCTTGCCCTCCCCAAGAACAGGCACCCAGGGCTCTAAGCAGGCACTGAGTGTTTATTGGGATGGCTTCTGTGTTACATCAGCGGGCAGAGTCCTGCCATCCACCTTCCCCACCACAGTTACATGGAGCCCCGGGAAGGATGGAGGGAGGCATCATTTACCAGGGATCTTGGATATTGTTTTCGTCAGCGTCCTAGGTTCTGGCAGTGCCTCATGGATCACTTGGCAGGTGAATTTTTTATTCTGTGCCCAGTGTGCCTTGGTGACCTCTAGGCGGCTGAAGATGAAGAAGCCTTGACCAGGGCCGTTGGACTTCAGAGGTGCTGTGGTTCTGTGCTGTGTGTTTGGGATCAGCATCTCATCTTGCAGCCACCGCACTGAGATATCCTCCGGGAAGAAGTTCTGGATCAGGCAGGTGAGTGTGTGTTTGTCCTTGTTCTCCTCCTCTGGTGGTGGCGGGAACACATACACCTCGGGGGCTGAGCGCTGGCCTGTGGACAAACGTTAGTTAGCCAGGCCTTCGCCTCTGTGACCACTCCCTCCCCACCTCCCGTACTTACCCTGGGCCTTGGTGATGGCGCGCACAATGGGCCTGGGCAGCTGAGGGTGGTTCACGCTGCACCTATAGCCTTCACCTTCAATCCAGTCCTTGACATCCACCGGCAGGATGGAAGTGATACTGGTTGTTGCGTTGTGGTGCCTGGTAGAACTCTGGGCTGCTAAGCCTGCAGGATTCCGATGCTCTTGGGTCCATGTCACAGTGACATTCTCCTTGCTTTCCAGGTCCACCACCAGACAGGTAAGCTTGGGAGCCTTTCTTACATACAGGTCCAGGGGGCTGGGTGGGATCAGGTAGGTATTCACACCACGTGGCTCATATTCTGTGGGGGCAGAAAGGGCTGTGTGAGATCCTGCCCTTCCCTCAGAACTCTGAGGTCTGGGCATCAGGCGAGGGGAGGGCCTACCTTGGCACTTCTGGGTATGGATCTCATAGTCCTCGTCTTGGGAGGTGACCTTGCAGGAGAAGGTGCTCTCAGACATCCATTGCTCCATGGTGATGTTGAGTTCGCTGTAGGTCGAGGCTAGCTTCCCCTCCTTCTTGATTGGGATAACACTTGGCGACGCGTCTGGCATCTGCTGTCCATCCTTTAGCCAGGTGATGGTGACATCGTCTGGGGCATGGCCATCAACGAAGCAGTAGAGCTGTATGGTGGAGTGGAATGCTTTGGGGTTGCAGGATGAGTGGAGCAGCTTCAGGGTGGGCTGGGTGATATTGACAGGCGATGCTAGGGCAGAGGCAGTGAGATGTGAGTGTCTCCCCAGCCTTGCGCTCCCCCAGGTCTCAGCCCAGATCCCCGAGGGTGCTGGGCACACCCCTGTCCTTCTGTCCCAGGTATGCATGAGAGGTCCTGCCTGCTCTGACCATGTTCTCTCCTCCTGTACCTGTAGCCGGCCCAGCCCTGCTTACCTTTGATCGTCTTGTTGCTGTTGAATCCGGATGGGGCATGCGTCACCTGGCAGGTGAAAGTCTTGGCTGACTTGCTCTTGGTGGTCACTTGGCTGGTGGTGACCTTGAGTTCAGAGCCGAGGGCAGGGAAGTTCACGGTGCTCATGTTCGGGGAGTTTGAATGCCAGATCACATTCACCGGGTCAGGGAAGTAGTCCTTTATCAGGCAGCCCAGTGTCACGGGGGCAGTGTCTGCCTTACAGGGCTTCAAGGGGTAGACAGAAGGTTCCTGGACAGAGGCTGTGAGACAGGATCTGGGTTAGACTGGCCTCACATTCCTGCACTCCTGCAGGTTGGGGGACTTGTTCGGGTGGATGTGACTGAAGCAGGGCTCTGGGGACAGATGGTCAGACTCCTGGGTCCATTCTTCATTCTCTGAACCCAAGCCCAGACCCAGGGAGCCCCCTGACTCTTTACACTTGCCAGGGTTTCCTCACTCATTGTCCCCAGCTGGCTTAGCACAGGAGGGCTGGACTTGAGCTTGGGAGGAAGAGGCCAACTCTTGCTCCCTTTCTTGATTGGGAAATTTAGCCAGGTGACAGTGACATCCTCTAGGATATGACCATACATGAAGCAGTAGATCTGGGTGGTGGACTGGAAGGAGTTAGGGTTGTAGGATGAACAGAGTAGCTTCAATGTGGGCTGAGTGATATTGACAGTGGGACCAGGCTGTCCCTTAGGTTTAAGTTCAGGGAACAGGTACCCCACAGGGCTTGGGGACCCAGAGATGCAGTGAATTGCCAGATTATCCCTTCTGTCCCTACTCTTGGGGACTGGGGATTCAGAGCCTTCCCAGGACCACCGGTTCCTCTGTGAGTCGCATTAAATCTGTTTTAGGCCATATGGAGGACAGAGCTGTGTGACTCTTGCTCCCTAGGGCTATTGGTTCCAGCCTCTCAGATACATGTGTGCTCTGCTTTCCCCTTTACCATAACCCAACCTGCACAGTGTTCTGCCTCCCAGAGGACCCCTGTTGATCCCAGACAGCACACAGAGAATAAAACCACCACTTCAGAAGCCACCTTGGTGGCTGCCTAAATCGCTCTAGTGTGCACACACACCCATGATATTCTCCTGAGCCAGGGGGCCAGCTCAGCTCTGTGCCAGCCCCCAGAAAGCACAGGGTACTGTTAAGCCTGCTTGGCTCTACCTACCCAGTCTAGACTGTCCACGACAGGACAACCTTCTTGGAGGACACCTAAAACACCCATAAATGATTTCGAGCAATCTATCTTAAGCCCAGTTCAGTTCAGCACCAGAAAGTTCAACCAGACCAACAGACTTGTAACCGTTTGGCCCAGTCCAGGACAGCTTAGCTTAGCCCAGCTCAGCTCAGCCTAACCTGGCCAATCCCAGCTCAGCCTAGTTTAGTGCAGCCCAGGCCAGTCCATCCCAGCCTGTCCCAGCCCAGGTCAATAAGCCCACGCAGCCTGGCAGAGGTCAGCACAGCCTAGCCCAGTTCATCTCAGCCCAGATCAGACTAGAACAGTATATTCTACATCATCCCAGCTCAGTCCAGTCCACTTCAGCCTAGCTCAGTACACTCAGCTAGGCCCAGGTAACTCAGCCCAGCCCAGGTTAGCTCATTCTGGCTCATCCAAGTTCAGCTCAGGCTAGCACAGCTCAGCCATCTTACGGAAGTCTAAGCCCAGCTCACCTCAGCTAAGTTCGGCCTATACCAGTTCAGCCCAGTGTAGCCCAGCTCATCCTGGCCCAGCCCCACTCAGTCTAGGCCAACCCAGTCTACCTTAGGTTAGTCTAGCCAGTCTGGCTCAACCCATATCAGCCCCACTCAGCTTAGCTCAGCCCAGCCTAGCCTAGACTTTTTCGGCTAAGCTAGCTTAGACCATATCAGCACAGCCCAGCCTTGCTGAGGCCAGCCCAGCTCACCTAAGACAAGACTAGTGTAGCTCAGCTCAGCTCAGCCTACCCAATCCAGCTCAGCCTAGTAATGCAATCCAGTTCAGCCCGGCATAGTCAGGCTCAGCCAGGTACAGCTAAGTTCAGTCTGGCCTAATCTAGTCCAGTCCAGCCCAGTTTACCCTAGTTTATCCTAGCTAGGAATGGACCAGACCAGTCCACCCAAGATAGCTCAGCTTAGTCCAACTAAACTGAGCCCAGCCCAGCCCAGGCTAGTCTAGTCCAGCCCAGTTCAGTCCAGCCCAGCCCAGTCCAGTCCAGTCCAGTCCAGCACAGCCCAGTTCAGTCCAGCCCAGCCCGGTCAAGTCCAGTCCTGCTCAGTCCAGGACAGCCCTACTTAGCTTAGCTTAACCCAGCTCAGGCCAATTTAGCCCAGTCCAGTCCTACCTTGCCTAGCTCAATCTAGCTCAGTTCAGCTCAGCCTGGTTATCCAAGGCCAAATCAACTAAGCCTAACACACAGCCCAGTCCATACAACCTAGGTTAGCACAGTCCAGTCCAGTCTAGTCTAGTCCAGTCCAGCTCAGTATAGTCAAACTGAGACCAGATTAATCCAGTTTAGCTTAGCTCAGTCCAGTCCAACCTAGTCCAGCTCAGCATAGTCCACCCAATGTAGTTTAGGCCAGTCCAGTCCAACCCAGCCTAGCCAAGTCCCTCCTAATCCAGCCCAGCCCAGCCCAGGCTGGCCTAGTTCAGATTAGCTTAGCCCAGCTCAGCCCAGCTCAAATCAACCTAGACCATCTTAGCTCAGCCTAGTCCAGCCCAGCCCAGCCCAGTCCAGTCCAGCCTAGTCCAGTCCAGCCCAGCCAAGCCCAGCCTAGTTCAGTCCAGTCCAGCCCAGCCCAGCCAGCCCAGCCAGCCCAGTCCAGCCTAGTCCAGCCTAGATCAGCCCAGTCCAGCCCAGTCCAGCCCAGGCCAGCCCAGCCTAGTCCAGTCCAGCCCAGTCCAGCCCAGGCTAGCCTAGTCCAGCCCAGCCCAGCCCAGCCCAGCCTAGTCCAGCCCAGTCCAGCCCAGCCTAGTCCAGCCCAGATCAGCCCAGTCCAGCCCAGTCCAGCCCAGCCAACCCAGTCCATCTCATCCCATCCCATCCTATCCCATCCCATCCCATCCCATCCTATCCCATCCCATCCCATCCCATCCCATCCCATCCCATCCCATCCCATCCCAGCCCAGCGCAGCCCAGCATAGTCCAGCCTAGTCCACCCCTAGTTGTTTTAGTATAGCCCTGTTGAGACCAGTCTAAGTCAGCCCAGCTCAGCCCAACTTAGTTCAGCCTAGCACAGCCTACCCTACCTGAGGCCATACTACTGCAACCCAGCTCAGACCAGCTCATACCAGCTCATACCAGCCCTGCTTAGCCCAGCTCAGCCCAGTCTAGCCTGGTCTGATTCAGATCAGCCAAGCCTACTCTAGTTTAAGCTTGCTTAGTGTACTCCAAGCTAGTCCAGCCCAAACTAGTCCAGTCCAGCTCAACATAGTCCACCCAACCCAGCTCAGGCCAGTCAGTCCAACCCAGCCTAGCCAAGTCTCTCGTAGTTTAACCCAGGCCAGCCTGTCCTAGCTCAGCTTAGTTTTAGCCCTGCTCAGTCCTTCTCAGCCCAGCTCAAATCAACCTAGACCACCTCAGCTCAGCTCAGCTCAGCCCAGTCCAGTCCAGCCCAGCCCAGCTCAGCCCAGTCCGGTCCAGCCCAGCTCAGCCCAGTCCAGTCCAGCCCAGCTCAGCCCAGTCTGGTCCAGCCTGGGTCAGCTTATCATAGTTCAGCCTAGATCAACCCAGCTCAGCCTAGCTCAGTACAGCCCACATCAGCTGAGTATACCCCATGTAGCTCAGGCTAGCCCAGCTCAGTATAGCCAAGCCCAGTCTAGTCCAGCTCAGACCAACCCACATCAGCTGAGTATACCCCACCTAGCTCAGGCCAGCACAGCCCAACTCAGCCCAGCCCTGACCAGCCTAGCCCAGCCCAGCCTAGCTGAGCCCAGCCCAGCCCAGCTCAGCCCAGCCCAGTCCAGCCCAGCTCAGCCTAGCTGAGCCCAGCCCAGCCCTGACCAGCCTAGCCCAGCCCAGCCCAGCTCAGTCCAGCTCAGCTCAGCCTAGCTGAGCCCAGCCCAGCTCAGCCCAGCCCAGCCCAGCCAAGCCCAGCTCAGCCTAGCTAAACCCAGCTCAGCCTTGCTTAGCCCAGCTGAGCCCAGCCCAGCCCAGCTGAACCCAGCCCAGCCCAAATCAGCTCAGCCCAACCCACCCAAGCCCACAGCCCCGTCCAGCCCAGCCCTACTTAGCTCAGCTCAGCCCAACTCAATCAGCTCAGTCCAGTCCAGCCCAGCCCTGCTTAGCCCAGCTCAGCTCAGTCTAGCCTAGTCTGATTTAGATCAGCCAAGCCTACTCTAGTTTACGCTTGCTCAGCCTATTCCAGTCCAGTCCAGCCCAAACTAGCTCAGTCCAGCTCAGCCCAGTCCAGTCTACTTTACTTGGCTCATCCAAGCTCATCCAAGCCCAGCTCCACCCAGGCCGGCTTAGCTCCACCCAACCCTGCCCAGCTCTGTCCAGGTCGGTCCAGTTGTGGACATTGTCCTCTTTGTAGTTAGCTCACCGCGGGACAATTCCTTGCTGTCATTTGCTGCCTCTGGGTGACATTTCTGTCTCGGTAGTTTGCAGGCAGATTCATGTCCAGTCTATTTTGGGGTTTTCGAGTCTCTCTCGACATCTTTAGTTTATCTTGGCTCAGCCCTGTCTGGTTGAGATTCATGGTCCCCTGTCTTTGTGGACAGCTGTAGCAATTTCTAATATCTGCGTGCCTAGTGCAGGGAAGTTGTATCCGAAGGACATTTGAAGACCAAGAGACTCGGTTGCTGTTGGAAAGCAGCCCACGTGTCCCCTTCCCCACCCATGACCCTGTGACCTGTTTGTCCCTCTTTCTTAGGCAAATCCTTTTGCTGAGGTTCCCTTGGGCTGTAATACCTGAGGTCCTCTGGTAGGCAGCGGTGGCTGGTCAGGCTGTCCTCATCTGCAGCCATCTCATGTCCCTGTTCAGGCCCCCAGACGAATCTCTGGTAACCATTGTTATATTCATGCCTGCATGGCAGTGCCTAGGGGACGCTCTGCCTCAGTGCCCTCAGCTAAAAGTGGGGTGGGAACCCCCGACCTTAGCTGCCCTGGAAGTTCCCTTTCTAATCTGTTCTTGGGAAGATGACTAAGGGAGAGTGGGGTCTCAGGTGAGGCCTCTTTCTAGGAGACACACCTGCGTGTTCTGGGCAAGGCACGTTCCTCTCCGCTGTCTGGTCCCAGGTCTCCTCTGCACAGCCCTCATCTTGAGGCCTTGCATGAGCTTGCAGTCACCATGCCTGGCTGCTTGGAGTGCCCCTGCCCTGAGAAGGGACTGGGCTCCAGCCATCGCCTTTTCTGCCCCTTTGGTAGCACTTCAAGGAGAGCGTGGTAGCCACTTTGTGAGTGATTAATGAGGCACAAAGAGGAACGGCCTGTGGGCCAGATATGACATGTGGGGCCTCTTGACAGTGGCACCCTGGTTCCTGCCTCAGCTCTGGAGCTGGCACACTAAGGAGAGTGACTGGCCTTCAGCTGGGGTCCCCTGCCAGCTACTCTGGCAAGGAATCCAGAGGCCAGAGCACATCTGGGCTATGATTGGGTTTCATGGATCTGTGTATTAATGCTATTGTCTCTTCTAGGCCTCTAGTCTATGTCTGGATTGTGGGGAGGGAAGAGAGTAAAGATGATGTGGAAAGCTGGGCTTTGGCTCAGCAGCCCCTGTCTCCTTCCTGGTGCAGGCTCCACCGTGACTTTCTTCTGGCCTTCAGGAATCATCCTTGCCCCATCCCTCCTGTGTGCAGCCTGATCATTCCCTTTTTGCCCCATCAGTGCCCACAGTGGCCCCAGCAGCGAGATGCATTTAGTGCCCACACCCTGCCCTAGCCTTCACTCCATCTCCTCCCCTGGTCCAGGGCTCCACCAGGATCCAGTTCCCTTTAGTCAATCCCCTGGGTGGCTCCAATGACCAGAACAGATCTGTCCCTGGATGGGCAGGTCTAAGATGCACTTATCTGTGTGTGTCTGTGAGAGCATGTGTGTGCATGCATGTGTTTGTAGGTGTGAGCATTTATCTCGGGGATCATGGAAAGGTCCGACTGCTACCCCAACTCCCCAGTGGCTCTGTAAGTTGTGGAAGTGTGCCTTATTGCTATTTTGGTGGCTAGGTGGAGGTGAGACAGAAAGGAGGGCACAGATCTCCTTAGGATTATCTGCTAAGTGAAGCCAAGGATGTTAGTGTAAGTGTAATGACAGGTCTTTATTGGGAACACTGTAACGTTCACCTTTCCTTCCTGTAAAATGGAGCCAGACTGATTTGACCTTTTGATGTACTAGGATCAGCCATTTCCTATATCTAGTAGTTTAGTATTTCTTTGAGAGACCAGTAGGATTGTCATTATGGGATTCCAGCTGCTTTAAATACTTCAGAACCTCAAGGAAACCATAGTTGAGCTGCAAAGAATACTGCAATCATGGCTGCTACTGAAACCACAGGAGTGGCCCAATGTCTGGCCATGTATATAAGACCCAAAAAAGCTTAAAAAATGTTCTAGACACATAAAAACGGAGACAGATGTGGCTTCCTAGTCTTATGTTTCTCATGCTAGCTGCAGTAAAGAGACACATCTCCCAGATGAGCTAAGATGCTTGGCAGGTTTAATTTTTTGCTCATATAGACAGAAAAGGTTACAGATATGCAGTAAAGCAGGTTCAGGTAGAAAAGACCTCTAAATAGGTTACAATGTGTTTAACAGTGTGTGTAGGCTTAAGAAAGAAAAGAAAAAGTATTGGTGAAATTATTAAGGCCACTCCACATAGTTAAAAGGGAGATTTATTTAGTGGCGTAACTTACAAATGAAGGGGTAGGTAGGTTGCAGGGTCTGGGAAAGATTTAGCGCAGTCTGGCGGTGTTCTCTGGAGAACTCTGCTCAGTCTATCTCCAGCGTCCAGGGTCCAGGAAACAGTGCATCCAGATCTCGGGTCTTCAGGGCCCTCTCTTGGCCCCGCCTTGTAGGTGTGACAGTTACCAAAGCCTCAATGGGGGTTGGAACTTCCAGATCAAAGCTGGAATGGCTACCCACTACAAAAATGGGTAGAGACAGTCATAGAAAAAATAGTTTAAAGATAATAAAGTAAAGTCTTTAAAGAAAGAGTAAAGTAATATAAAGAAAAAAGGCCACATAAAGATGGAAAATACATAGGTAGTCTGGATCCTGTATGTTATTGTGTTGTCTTTAAATTTTTTGATTGCTGATGAAAAACGATAGTTGTTGAGAGACACTGGATTATGGAGACTGCTAAATTAAACCAACCTATATATTTTAAAAATGTATTAACTTCAAAATTTAAGTCAGAAAATGTGTTATGTTGGGGGAGAGGTTATACTTTTATTTCCACAGGAAAGGCAAGGCTGGGAATTCCTTCCAGATTAATAGAGATCAGATTCGACTGGGGGAGACCTCCTAAGTATCTTGGCTACAGACATGGGGAGAAAGCCAAAAAAGACTACAGGACAGATGATGTATGAGCTGATCCTTTGACATGGCAGGAGCTCTGAGATGAGATAAAATATGATAAATCTTGTTTGCTACAGAGTCCTCATGATTTATTATTACATGCCATCCTTTCATATGGCATGGATAGAGATTTGTATTACAGTTTGATTTTACATTCCAAATGGACTTATAAAGCTGACAGATGCCTTTTAGCTTCTCGAACATAGAACAAAAAACATCTTTAACTGATTCGTGCACACTGCAATTCCATATTTGTGTTAATACAGATGTGTTTGCTACCTTTGAAAGTTTATGCATTTTCAGAGCGAGGGGACCAGACACCAGTGAAAACAGATGGCTCAGGTGATCCTGCATCTCAGAGTGCCTCTGTTACAGTTTCCTCCAAGTTTTACACCCAGAATAGCTTCAAGGCTGCTGGCGGAGATAGTACAGCCTCACAGAATACTACAGCCAGGACTTGACCATTATACTGATTTTCTCAGGATCTCTCAAAGATTCCAGGGCACCCAGACAACAGGAAGCAGTCTAGAGAAAACAATGCCCACATTCCCAAGAGATGGGTTATAGATGTTTTTCATCATTTGGGGAGGGAGGTTAATTAAAAATTGGTCATGGTCAGAAAAAAATGCTAAACAAAGGAATTAGATTCAAAGATCTCTTTCTGAAGGAAAAAGGGGGCTATAACATAGAAATGATGAGATAAAAGGGTAGATTATTGAGTCTACTTTTGAACAACTACTAACCTCA